GTATCTTTTCAGAATGTGTCCCAGATGTTACATAAAGTTCTGAGCAGGTATGTAAAATGTGTACACGTGTGTGTGTGTGTGTGTGTGTGTGTGTGTGCGCGCGCGTGCTGGGTAAGGGGGGAAAATCAAACAATAGCTTTCATAACTCTAATAAAAGCTACTATTTAAACCCTATGAATGTTTACTATTTTTTATAAAGATTTAAATGGTTTTAGTGAGCATTTATAAAATGTATACAGCCTTATGGCCTTTAAATCTGACAGCTGACGACATAAATTTTTCTAGATGATGATCAAGTATATGTTGATGCAGCTGTTGCCATAGTAAGCCATGCTGAGGCATCTACTATAATAGTTCAGCATGGATTTTTCTTTATATGAGTACCAAAGGCCTATGACTTATAATAATGAGTACCTAAAATCTAAATTGCCAGGAAAAATGAAAATATAATTAAAAGTCTGCAAAAATGTGGGGGAAGAAGAGGATAATTTTCAAATGTACAAATAGTGAACTCACATACTGAAAGACGTAATTCTAAAATGAACAGTGCTTTAGAAAATTAAGGAATTGTGCTCCAAATGAACAGAACCCACATGGGAAAAAATACATGTGTACATATTATAAATCACTAATAAAGCCCCCATTGTACTTTGAAGATTTCATTTTTCTGTGGGTCACTTCTTGTTCATTTTGCACATATACATTACAGTCTTCTGATCAAAGACCGGAGAACTATTTAAGTTGCAGCACGGCTAGAAATTGTTTCTCTATTGGTGGAGCCTTATTAATGGTTCAACAATAAATGTTGAAAAGGATTTAGAATTTCTATTTGCTCTACTGGCAGTTTCTGGGTGGGGTGGTGCAAACTGTTAATGCACTCGACTGCTAACCTAAGAGTTGGAGGTTTGAGTACACCCAGAGGCACCTCAGAAGAAAGGCCTAGTGATCTACTTCCAAAAAATCAGCCACTGAAAACCCAACGAACACAGTCCTACCTTTTTTTGGTACTTTTTTTTCCGGTTTAGCAACATTTTTATTTTTGCAACTTCGGATAGGTGAACTATTGTACTTCACTGAGTCGTCATGGATATTTCTTGTCTTCTAAGTCAAGCTGAAGCATCCTTCTATGTAATTCAACACCACTGCTATTTCCCTGTTAACTGTCCATGTCTTTCTCTTATGTTTCTGTTGAGTTGTTGCTCTTTTCTTATTTTTTTTTAATTTATTGTGCTTTAGGTGAAAGTTTACAGAGCAAATTAGTTTCTCATTAAACAATCAATACACAAATTGTTTTGTGACATTGGATACCAATGCTGTGACGTGTCAACACTCTTCCCTTCTCAACTTTGGGTTCCTCATTTCTATTCGTCGAGCTTTCCTGTCCCTTCTTGCCTTCTCATCCTTGACCTTGGGCTACTGTACCCACTTGTTCTCATATATATGGATGAACTGTGTGTGTTATTGTTTGTTTTATTGGCCTGTCTAATCTTTGGCTGAAAGGTGAACCTCAGGAGTGACTTCAGTATTGAGTTAAAAGGGTGTTTACAGGCTATACTCTCAGGGTTTCTCCAGTCTCTGTCGGACTAGCAAGTCTGGTCTTTTTCTTTTTTGTGAGTTTGAATTTTGTTCTACATTTTTCTCCAGCTCTGTCCGGAACCTCTATTGTGATCCCTGTCAGAGCAGTTGTTGGTGATAGGCGGGTACTATCTAGTTGTGATAAACTCAGTCTGGTGGGGGCTGTGGTAGTTGTGGTCCATTAGTCCTGTGGACTAATCTTTCCCTTGTGTCTATGGCTTTCTTCATTCTCCCTTGCTCCAGGTGGGATGGGACCAATAGATGTATCTTAGATGGCCACTCACAAGCTTTTAAGACCCTAGACGCTACTCACCAAAGTAGGATGTAGAACATTTTCTTTACAAACTATGCTATGCCAATTAAGCTAGATGTCCCCCAAGACCATGGTCCCCAGCCCTAAGCTCAGTAACTCAGTCCCTCAGGGACTTTACATGTGTCTATGAAGCTTCTATGACTTTGCCTTTGTCAAATTGTGCTGTTTTCCTCCTACTCTTGACACACATGTGGTCATCATGAGTTAGAATCAACTCAACAGAAACTGGTTTGGTTGATTAGATCTGTTAAAATAACTTTTCTATTTTATAGAGAGGGCTAACCTGTTTACTCATTGCTGTCGAGTTGATTCCAACCCATAGAGAAGGCTAAGATGATTTTAAAAAAAGAGGGAGAGAGCGAGCCCTGGTGGTGCAATGGCTAATTGCTAGGCTGCTAACGAAAGGCTGGCAGTTTGTACCTACCCAGCCACTCTGAGGGAGAAAGATCTGGTGATCTGCTCCTGTAAAAACTACAGCTTAGTGAATGTGGTAAATCCTATGGGGCAGTTCTACTCTGTCACATGGGGTCTCTCTGAGTCCAAATTGACTCAAAGGCATCTAACAACAACAAGATGATAAAAGCTAACTTCCTGCAATTTATGTTTACACCTGTCTTTCAACAGAAAAACAAAACACCTTTCTATTTGGAGGGTGAGATGCACGTGCACTTTACCTCTTACAGTTACGTTTCTTCCTTTCTTCAACTTGCCAATGAGAATCACTCTAAAACCTACACTCCACATTTAAACACATATTAAAATAAGATCTTCATTCTCCTTTTCTTTTAAAGGACAGGCATGTTTAAAAATTCCTTAGAGACTTATGGTACATCTTTCCTCTCTGATTGTGGTTATATAAATGTTGCCCAAAAAATGAACATCCTTTATGTCCTGTCTATGTTAATATATTATTATTATTTTTAATTTTTTCTTGCCAAGTCTTTTATATGATATGTATCTATTTTGATTGTACAAGTAAGTCTATATCTTTAAAAACTCATGTTGAAGACTAGCTATGGGGAAAAGAAAAAGGGGCTTAAAAAAACTAAAGAAAGTAAATGAACAAGATAGTTCACTATGCTGTAGTCTGACTCTACACACCCTTCAAGCAACTTTGACCCAATTCCAATCCTTTCCTAATGCCCTCGCTCAAAATTGGATCCACTTGTCTTTCTCATTAACCACTGAATTTTTCCTGCCACTATGAGCTTTGTTTACCTCGATCAAAGGAATTACAAACCGCTTCTAAATCCATTTCCGGTACTCAGCCTTCTCTTACAAATGCTATGCATTTTAATTCATTAAAAAGACACAGTATGTTTATCATATCTTTATATTTATAAAATTAACAGGAAAATAATGAATCTCTTGAAACCAAATTATTTCTTAAGAATTCTCAAAGAACATAATGACCTGGAATTATAGCCTGGTCTCAACAGATGCTGCAACTGTGGGTACTGGATGAAGACAAAAAGAAAGGAGGTTTTCACTCTTCTCTTTCACTGTACATCTCTCATCACTAAAAGCCTCGTGCATTTTTCCATTCCCGGCTTACCACTACTCTGTCTTTTCATTGATTTGCATGTGGCTACATTCTAGTACCGCCATCCACCCGTCAGTTTGTTATACTGTGGTGACTTGCATATTGTTATGATACTGGAAGCTATGACACCACACAGGGTTGCCCACACTGGACAAGTTTCAGCAGAGCTTCCAGACTAAGACAAACTAGGAAGAAAGGCCTGATGATTTACTCCGAAAAATACCCAATGAAACCTCCATGGACCACAACAGAATATTGTCCAATATAGTGCTGAAAGATGAGCCTCGTAGGTTAGACCAAAATAAAACCAAAGCAAACCTGTTGCTGTCTAGTCGATTCCAACTCACAGTAACCCTATAGGACAGCGTAGAAATGCTCCATAGGGTCTCCAAGGAGCAGCTGGTGGATTCAAACTGCTGACCTTTTGGTTAGAGCCATAGCTCTTAACCACTGTGCCACCAGGGCTCCCCTAGGTTAGAAGGTACTCAAAATACACAGTGGTTACAACAGTGAACTCAAGCATAACAACAACTGTGACGATGGCCCGAGGCCAGGCAACTTCTGTTTTGTTGTTCACAGGGTCATCGTGAGTTGAAGCCAACTTGACAACAGCTAGCAACAATGACAGCCATCATAAGAACCCCCAAAACATTGAATTGAACAGCAAAATCACATGATTTTTTAACTCAGGTACTCATGTTTGGTATCCCGTTTCTAAACCGCTGAGAGAGAAAACTGGGTTTGTGGATCTTAGGTCAGTTTGCTTTCCCCAGTGGTCTGTAAACACGGCATCCTGCTATGAAGAAGTGATGATTCAAACCATGAGCAATGCAATTTCTACAAGAAAGAGTCAGGACAAGGAGAGAATCATGGGCATCACTAATACACCTGCACTTACAGAAATAATATGATACTTAATAGAAAATAGTGGAGAACTACAGCTATTTTTGTCTTCTGAATGCATTTTGTCAGGGGTTTCTAAACAATGTTCTGCAGGGTGTTATGGGGGTGCTTCAGGGTCCCACAGAGAAGGCAGGGAAGTCAAGCATCGAGAGGGAGGTCTAATGAGTGAACTGATGGGTCCAACTTCCCCGTGCAGATCAAGGGCTTAATTTTGTTTTACATACATACTCTGTTGAAATTTTACATGAAACGTTCTTGGAATAAAATGTTATGTCTCTTTAAAAAAAAAAAAAGATCAAAGGAAACATAAAATGATTCCTTCCTAAAAGCTACTATGGGTTTACACCAATTTTTCAGCTCACACTAGGCTGAGAACAAAAGAGGGCTGCATTTGGATCACTGAATATTAATAAAATGGTTAATAATGTCAAGTTTGCATGTTAACTCCTCTTATCTCAATTGCATTACACACTTCACAAGTTTGACATACACTAATAATCATTAATTGATATTAATAAGATGTGTGACAATATAAGATGGTCCTGATCAAATAAGGTACCCTATGTATATTATTGTAACTGGTTAAAGAACATCTAAATAGTTCATAATGAGCTTTAACAATATAGGCAAACTAAACAGAAAGAATTTGTGGGATTTCTTAAGTACCCTCGTACTGGAATACCCATGTGCCTTGCAGATTTAATGACCTCCTCAAACTTCTCCATGCTTTCTTCGATGGAACAGTTAATATTCTTCTTGCTAAAGGATTCGGATGCAGCACCAAACACTGATATCTCAGTGGCGCCAGCAGCAACCTGAAAAATGCAATGTAAAGGCAAAAACTAAAAATTTCAAAAATATAAATGATACTTGTAATCTTTAACATTTGCCTTAGAATTAAAAAATTAGATTCCTCTCATCCTCCCACAAACAATCTTTTCAAACGTAAAATATTTTGTAATAACAGAATGATTCCACAAACTGCAACACTCATACATCTGTGAGGCATGGAAAACACATTGATGCTGTTCCAATTCAATTTTGCCTTTCCTAAATTACATGTTAACTTCAGAAATACTTCAACCCTAATTATGGAAAATACTAGGCACCCCAATAAAATCTCTGAAAATCTATGGAAAACATTATTTTCAAGCCAATTATTATAAACACGGGATAGTAAATTCTTTCTTTTTCTTCTCTTCCCATAATCCAACAATTATTTTTCCCAATTTATCATTCAGATTTTGTCCAATATTTTCTTCCTGTATCTTAACCTAGCTTACGTTGTTTCATACCTTGACTGCTATAGCCATACTCCTATGTGTCTGCCTCCTTAATCTCCTTGTCTGTCTTTAAATCCAAAATACGAACCTAATCAACTTTCTCTTTTGTCTCTTTCTCTATCCTTCTCCTTCCCCAAGCTTCTCCAGTGGCTTTTTTTTCCAAATGTCAAGCTTCTTAGTTTTCCAGCTAGAGTTTTAAGACCCTCTGTTAATTTGTCTCTAACACTCTTGCCTGGGTTCCTTCCTCTCCCTGATTAATAAACTAAGGGGAAAACATTATTCTATCATCTTTCCTCTAACATTTTAAAAATATATTGGCTTTTACTCTTCTATCCAAAATAAAATTCCACCTCTAAAATAAAAATTTTAATTATTCAATATATACTATGTGCCAATACTACTGTTAGAGGACTACTTTGCATGTTTTATTTATAATCCATAACCTTGTAAACCAAGTATTATTTTGCCCATTTCAGTGATGAGAAAACTCTCAAAGAGGCTAAATAGGTAGCACCATGTCACACAGCTAGCAAAAGTTCTGGTGTTGTTTTAAACACAGCCCTGGCTGACTCCTAAGCCAATATTTGTCCACTCCACTGCTTGCCTTCTAAGCTATCCTGAAATTGTCTTCTCAACTAGTATCTTTCTCAAGGTGGAAACATTCCCTACTATGATGGGATTGGATGACAGCAAGATATACAGCTTTTAAAAAAATGCCTCTTTCTCTCTTTACTTTAATGCAATAAAAAATTATATCAAATTTAACAAATGAAAATAAATGGTTCTAACAAGATATATTAACGAGTAATATACCAACTAGCACCCCATGGCCTCAACTATATGCCACATAGTTTCAAATTCAGAAACGAAAAAACTCCATTAACACCAGAAATAGCTGTTGCAAAACACTTGCAATAAAACTATGTAAGTGTAACACCTCAAGCCTTTTCTCAAAATTGCATTGATTCTTCTTCTACGTGTAATCATTAAAACTTTTGTACATATAAATCTCTAAGTCACAGAATATTGGGAGAAACAAGCTACAAGAGGAATAAGGAAATATTAGAGGTAGATACAATGCCAATGATTAGCTTCACATAAGAGGACAAAACAACAACAAAAAAGCTGACAGAAAAGAAGGTGACAGAAATAATTATCTAGTTCAATGATATTAATTATAACACTGCATTGAGAAATGTTTAAGTTATAATCTGTATTCCCTATTCAGCAGGGAAACACACTTTAGAAAGAATTTCATCAAAAGAGACAATTGTGTTCTTAAGTTTTGAATCTTGGAGGATTCAACTGGATGAGATATTTATGTGGAGCACTGTAGTCCCCAACTGTGCCACAAAGTCACTTATCTCCATGTTTGTGCCAGTATATTAGCATCGTATCTGTGTAAGGTAATAAGCGAGTTACATATGACACACTTTTACTATGTAAAGATCTTGAAAACAGTAAGAGGCATATGGATTTTAGAAAAACTAGTAGCACACTTACAGCACGGTGAAAACCCTGAAGATTAGGAGTAAGGACAGGATATCGAACTCCTGGATATCGATGAATGCCTTTCATCACTTCAGTATGATCAGCCATCTTAAATGCATAATAGTTATATATAAATATGTAACGCTGAATATTCTATCAAGCATTCTTTTTGCTTTCCAACTATGTTAAAATTACTCATGTATTCTATAAATTAATATTTGAAATAAAACTATGCTGACATAGCTGAAGAAAAAATAATTCTCATTGTCATAGAAACATCATAACTTGACCTGAGTTTAATTTATTCACATAATAGGATCTGGTTAAATAAGGAATTACAGATAGTCAGAAATTTGGAACAATATTATTGTTACTTGATGAATTTTCATTTTCTTAGTTTCATTTCATGTCCCAAAGCCTTGAATATCCCTGATATTGGGGAGAGTTTGAAAGGCAATATACTATGTGCTTATTTTCCACCTGAAAATGTTATGTCTAAATCAGAATATTAATAATTTTCAGTGTATGAAATTTTACAATTCTTAGGAAAATATAAATTATGTGTCTCTGTTAGAAAAATTCAGCAAGGCTGAGATCCTAGCATGTTACTTGGTTAGTACAATTTTTAGTTAGTAGTAGTCATAATGCTTTATGCAGCTCTGTCATAGGATTGCCATCTGTTCTCATAATGCAAATAAATGAACAGTGTGAAACACACAACAGAAAAATTTAACCCACATACCAAGACTTTATTTTGTGAATCTATTAAAAAAAAAACACCTTTGAATTAAAGTATCAAATTTACCATATTCCCACAAAGTCTAGAAATCGGCCTCTTAAAGCAAAAATTCATGATCAAATCACATAGAAAATTTTCTACTGACATAACCACGAGCTTTGCATATTCATGAATGATAAATTATGGTATGAATAATAAATGTAAGGAATAATAATGAAAAGTATACAAAATGAGCATGGAGAAAGCTGTGAAAGAATACACCAAATCAAAATTGTTATCCTCTGTATGGGAATGAAAGAGGAAAGATACTGATTTTTTTCTCTATACACTCCAGCTTCAAGTGTTACGATAAGCATGTATTGTTTTTCATTTAAAGGAAATAAATCAAAATATACCACAGAGAAGGTTTAACATGGCCTAGAATAGTCTGTTGTTGTTGTGTGCTATCCAGTCAATTCTGACTCATAGCCACCCTATAGGACAGAACAGAACTGCCTCATAGGGTTTCCTAGGCTGTAACGTGGCACAGTCGTTAAGAGCTACGGCTGCTAACCAAAAGGTCGGCAGTTCGAATCCATCAGTCGCTTCTTGGAAACCCTATAGGGTGATTCTACTCTATAGGGTCGCTATGATTCAGAATTGACTTGACAGCAACAGGTTAAGTTTCTGGTTTTGGTTAATGTTTACGAGAGCAGATCGCCAGGTCTTTTTTCCCAGGGAGGGGCTGGTGAGTTCGAATCACCAACCTTTCTGTTAGCAGCCCACTGTTCAACCATTGTGCCACCAGGGCTCCCTTCAAATGATTTCAGCTCCCAGCATTCGAGTCATCTGGCTGAGCTATTGTGGACCAGAGACAACTTGTTCTCTGTGCCCTGTTCGATATTCCTGACCAAAGAATATATGAGCATAATAAGTGATTATTTATGCCACTAAGTTCTGAGACAATTCATTACAGTCATAAAAACTGAACACTGAAAAATGGACAGGATTTGAAAAGATGGAGTGACAGGTGCAAAAGTGGGAACACATTATCTGGATAGAGAAGATTATTAGTGAATTATGAAGGATTAGGTTATAACTGAAGAGAGGGAGGCACACACTATCTTTGAGTTAGATCCAGGTTGTTCTAAACTGTGAAGGCAATGGAAAACCATGGGGAATGGGTGTTGAATTAGCAGAAGACTGGGCTAAATGTAATATTTTAGAAAGATTAATCTAGGAAGGTATAAAATGTAGTCTAAGGAGAGGAGAGGCCATTCTCAGGCAATTGTGAGAATCCAGTTTGTGACAAGATCTGTAGAGAAATGGAACTGGGACTAGAACTCCCAAAGAAAAATTAATAGGATGCAGTGACTAGTAGTACAAGGGAGATAGGAAATGGCTTTATGCAAAAATGTAATCCTCACTTTTTCATAGACTTCTTATGAAAATATTTAACATCTATACATACTTTAATACAAGTTGAGTTGATTATATAGCCATGAACTTAGCCTTTGTGCCTGATGCTAATTAAAGTGTGAGTTCCTTGAGCTCTTTGTCTTCTATTGTGTTGACCTATATACATTTTCTGGCATGTTAAAATCTCTCTCTCTCTCCTGTACACACACATACACGCATGCACAAGCACACATGAACACACAAATTATAATAAAAAAATTAGAGGATGCAATCCTCATTTCAAGCAGAAAGATATCCAAAGTAACCACTGATGATTTCAGAACACTGTAATGAAAACTACGACAACACTTATTAGAGAAAAATGTTAATCCATATTAATGTATATTACTAATGTTTTAGTCTAACTAAACATAGTATGTTTAAACCATTATTGGAGATATTTATTTAACATAAAAATAGAAATAAAAACACAGCGCTTCTCTAACCAATACACAGATTTGGATAAAGTATGGCAGTGCATCATAAAACAGCATAAAAAGGCACAAAGGAAATTTTAACCAACAACCAACATAGATCACACTGACCTGTAACGGATTGTTTTATTCTACATATAATTTAATAAAATTTTGAATCAATATAAAGAAATGTATATAATAAAACCAATGGTTTCTTTTAATGGACATTTCAATTAGAAACTGAACAGGGGTGAGAGTGACCCAATTTCATGAAGGCTGAATGTTTACAATCACAGAAGATACCCTAAGGAAATTACGATAAATACATTACTTAGAATCCAAAAAATCAGCACTTTTTTTTTTTTTTTGGTCAGAAAATTCTTTGTTTTTAATTTTT